TTGTAGTACACCCAGATCTTTCACCATGTCCTTGAACCAAGACAAATTTCTGCTTCCCTAAGCTTACTCTTATCTACAGCAAGAAAACAACAATAAAAACATAACTTTCACTTAATGACCCCATGCCAGGAAAGGAAAGAAAAAAAACTGACATAGAACTGTTACAATATGAATTCTAAGGAAGACACCAACTGCAAAATAGAAACCAGGAGCCCTGTTCCTATGTATTTTCACAGTTATTAAGCTCTGAATGATAACTGCTTTCACAGGATCCCAGAAAGTCAGCACTAGAAGGCATCTCAGGGATCAGGGGCTAGGTTCTCTTCCCAACCCTGCCATTTAACAGATGAGGAAACTGAGGCCTGGAGAAATGATGTACCTTACCCAAAGCCTCACAGCTAAGAAGTTAATATCAATCTCACCACTAGTATGAGGTACTCTGCCTCCAAGACCCTTGAGTACCCTTTAAGTATATAGCCCAATCTAAAGATCAACTGTTCTATTCAAAAGCAAGCATAAAAATCAAGGACGGTTAAGGAAAGTGAAGGTCAGTCAACACTTAAGATTGAAATCCTGTGATTCCAGTTTTCAAGGATTTGTAACTTTTACATTAACTTTTTTTCTGGACTCCAACTGCTAAAGTGATTTTTTAAAAAAGATACTAATTTAACATCAAATCCCCTTCTCCAGTTTAATATGATGACTTGAAAAGTAGATATCAACTCAGAAAAAAATGAAACATACTTCCTTCTCAGCAGAGGTGTCAGGAAGGAAGGTTACAGCATCAGGTTAGATCTGATTATCAATCAAGCAACAAGCATTTATTAAGTGCCTGCTGTGTCCTAGCTGTTGTGCTAGATCCAGGGATAAAAACACAAAGAAACAAACCCTACTCACAAGGAGCTGTTGATTTTTCTTAACTATTTTCCTTTGTAACTAATAGCCAGCGATGAATGTGACATAGAAGAAAAAGGCTTCGATAAAATTTTTTTTTAATTATTTTTTTTTAATGGGAAGAGGATTGAAATTTCTGGAGCCATATATAAGCTTCACAGAACTATGTGCATAAAACTTGTAAGAGTATTTCATAAGTACATATAGTGTAGGCTAGATCCTACACTGACCTCATACCCTTTCTAAGGATGCCTGTCAGAGCACACAAGAAAAAAGCCAACATGGAGATATTCCTATACTCTACAAAGCAGTGAGGTATAACTAGGTCTTTAATCCATAAAACTGAAATATTTAAAGAAAAAACTGATACTACAAAGTGGCCTATCTTCAAGCAAACTTTATTGTGCTCCCCCTCCTCCCATTAGTGTACTTATTATATGTCAGACCATGATAACATCATGAAATTTGTAGTTGGGGAAAAAGTCTACTCAAGTCTGTAATTTCAATATTAGACACATCAATATTAAGGTGATGAAGGTTTCACTTTTGGTTTAGTGAATCTTTTGACACTTCCCTGCTCTGGACCTCAGTTTCCTCCACTGTAAAAAATAAGGGGGTTGCCTAAATAATCTCTAAAATCCTTTAAAGATCTAAATGCCCAGAACCTGCTTAACCTTTTGTAATAATGCCCCAGAGTGGGTTAGTGGAAGAGTAAGATCCCTCAAATCAGAAAAACTTTCTGGTTACCAATCTTACCTTCTTCCTTTTCATCGAATAAAAGACATTAAAAGGGTACCTGTGTCAAGTTTGGCTTACATAGATGTTGGCTGTTTGACTGAAAATTGGCCTGAGAGAAGCATGGCAAATTAAATAGAAGACCTCCTTTGGAATCATGAAGACCTGGGTTCAAGTCCTGACTCTGATCTGCATTATCTGTCAAGGTGTCCAAGAGCAAGTCACTTAAACTACTCAGTGTCCAGTTTTAGAAAGCAGCTGACTATCTTCACTGGTGGAGAGTTCTCTCCACAGTTCTAGAGTACAAAGTGGGGGGGGGGAATGGGGAGAGAGAGGGAAATAACACTATTAACCCTGAAAGGGTGTCAAACAATGGGGTGGAGTGGAGACAGGAACATAGCATTTTTCACAAAATTCTTAATATCAAGAATTCCAATCACAATCAATAAAAATTGGTTAAGCTCCTATTATGTGCCAAGCACTGACCTAAACGCTGGGCATACAAAAAAAAAAGGTAAAAGACGGTATCTGCCCTCAAGGATCTTAAAATCTAATGCAGAGAACACTACATGGGTACGTAACAAAGGGCTGGGTACTGGTGCAGGAGCAGAGCCTTTAAAAACCACCTTTCAAATCCAACTTTTTGCGAAAATGAGCAGCTTCACCTTCGACAAGTCCCCCCAGTTTTGGAGCTAGAATGGGGAAATATGGACCTGGCTCAGGAAGGTGAAAATGTGAATGGGGGGCTAAGACAGACAAAATGTCGGTGGCAGAAACAGAAAGTCAGAGAGTAAACAGGAGAAAGGTAAAGATACATAAATTGACGTCGTCTTTGTGTGCGGGAAAACTACAGTATGTCAGTGGTTTTCGGCTTCCTGTTTGTAAAAGAAAAAAGCGTTTTCCCGGTTTCTCTCCCTCTCTTCTCTCCCTCTCTTCTCTCTCTCTCTCTCCTCCCTCTCTCTCTCTCGTTCTCTCTCTCCCTCCCCCTCTCTCTCTCCCTCTCTCCTCTCCCTATCTCAAAATACACAGTCTTCTTCAAAATATACAGTCCACCGTGCTGCGCTTGCCTTGGCTCACTTGCTCCCTATGTCTTCTGTTCCCTCCCTCCTTCTCTCCCTCTCCTCCTCCCCTTCGCCCCTAGCCAGACGCGAAGGGGCGGAGGAAAGGGTGTTTGGGGGCTTTCCAGTGATTAAGGGGATATTAGTAGTAGCAGGCGTCGCTGTAGTAGATCGCCACCTCTTAGTTCCCCAGCTCTTTGGGTAGGAGGTTAGAGCCGCGGACAAAGCACCTCCCCTGTCCCCTCCCACCCCGTCCAAAGGGTGGAGGTGGGAGGGAGGAAGGGAGGGAGGGAAGGCGTGTGAAGGGAGGAGGAAGAGGAGGAGGGGAAGAAGGTGCTGCTCAGCGGGCCTGCAAAGGATCACGCCGAAGGGGAGGAGGGGCTGAGACAGCATCAGAGCCAAGGGAGGAGGAAGAGAGATATCTTTAAGACCGAGATAAACAAATTGCCCCCCCATTCACGTGTGGGGTGAGGGGGAAAGAAAGGGAGGCAGGCGGGGGCGGGGGAGAGGCGAAGAGAGGAAAGACGCGAAGAAGGGGGGGAGGCTCAAGGATGGGAGGGGGAGTGAGTGGGAAGAGACAGACACAATCCTAACCCTCCCCCTACCCCTTCGGCTCTTTGTCACGGAAATGCCCAAACCTAGCGCCCAACAGAAGCTGACCTCTCTGCCTCCCGCCCCCCATCTCTCCCAACCCTTGAGTGCAAAAAAGAAGATTCTCCCGGTCTGGGGAAGTGCCCGATTTTTCATCCTAAGTAGAAAGCAGCCCCCTTCTCCCTCTGTGGGTGTCCGCACTACCCAGCTGTTCACGGCACTGTCTGTGCGCCCACGGAGCTAGGCGAATAGTCAGTGCCCTGCTCAGTCACACCGGGCTTTGACATTAACATCCTCCCACCCACCCCTGGCCACACATGCACACGCATTACACTCAGAATGAAATTGCGGGGGGGTGGTCAATGTGGGTTTTCGGGCAAATAAATGCCTTTCACTAGCTCCTAATCAATCCTGAGAAAAGAAGGGAGGGAATGAAAGGAAGAGAAAGACAGAGAAAAGAGGAGGAGGAAGAGGATTAGAGAAGAAAGACCCGAGAGAAAGAAGGGGCTGAGATGCGAGGAAAAGAGCTGTAACAAACTCCTCAGCTAAGTCCAGGCAACCAAGCAGGTTGGAGGCCTCTTGCCTCGGGGTTGGGGAGCGGGGATCGCGCTACTTCCTACTTGCTAAGTTATGCAATTGACAGACAAACACCCCACCCCCAAGCTTCTGCCTCCACAGGCAAACCTCCTACACCTCTATCTTCTAGTGGCAGTGCTCTTCTCAGTGCTTATTAAAACACCCGGGGAAAGTTTGATGGGGGGGGAGGTGTGGGATGGTTCCGGAAGCAAAAAGGACAGTCTCAGGGAAGTTTAAAAGGAAAAAAGGGATGGGGGTGGCGGAGTGCGAATCCAGAGTCGTGTAGCAGTGGCGACTGCAAGGAACAAGCTTCAAGCAACACAAGGGGAACTTTCTCCTTTACCTGCTGCAAGAGCAGCAAACCCAATCTTACTTTCCTCCCCGCCCCTTCACCTGCCCTGCCAACCCAGAGTTTAAAAAGCCATCGATGCAGCGTGCACACACACATACACGCGCGCGCGCGCATACATACATACATACACACAAATACACATACACTCCATGCGCACATCCCCCCCCAAAAAAGTTCATTCACAAAACTCTTAAGACTTCCCTAAAACAAAGAGGGAAAGGGGCATGGATATTTCACCCTCCCTCTCCCCTTCTCATTTTGGGGAGAAAATGGTACCTCCCCAGAATCACAGCATCAATTCCTCCCCTAGCCCAAACGAATGTGCTCTAAAAGGGGGGGGGGGAGAGTAAAGGGGAGAGAAACGAGACTTGCGAGGTTGAGGAAGAGCTGGGAGGTGGAGAGCTAGGGAAAGGAGGAGGAGCAGACTTTCAACTCAAGATTCATCCTTTTTCAAACTGGTTCTTAGGGAAAGGGGGGAAAAACTTTTCCAAACAGCCTACTTGGAAGACGCTCCTTAAGGTGCCTTCTTCCCCGTCTTAAACCTCCTTTTTTTCTGTCTCCTCAACCCCACCCCGCTCCCCTTCACATCTGACAACCCTGGCCGACTAACAGGTATCTGAGCCTTTTCCCAGGAAAAGTTTACTTGAAACCCGTTCGCTCCCACAGAGCTCCCCTTTTGCCCAAGTCAGTTTCCCCCCTACCCCACCACCACCAAACCAGAACGGCAAGCTCCCCCCACCCCCAGTCCCCATCCAACCAGGTCCCGCGTCCCCCTGCCCGGATTGTGCCCTCACCATGATTAGCGTGTGATTTCTTTGCTCCGCCGAGGCAGACTCTGCATCTTGCTGCTGTTTGCTCGAGTGCTGCGAGGGCTGTTTGCTGCCGCCGCCGCCGCCGCCCCCGCCGCCCGATTTTTTGGCCCTTTGCTCCAGGGTCCTCTGATACAGGCTCACCGTGTCCCTGCGCTCCAGCTCCAGCTGCTCCGCCTGGGCTTGCTGGTACCTGTTCTCGCAGTTGACATGGTGCCGCCTGCAGCCTTCGATGCGCTGCCTCAGCCGCTCCACCACCGTGCTGTGCTTGGGGACGCTCCCCGGGCCGCCGCCGCTGCCCCCGGGGCCGCCGCCGCCGCCACCACCGCCGCCGCCGCCAGCATGGTGATTGTTACTCGGTGCAGCGGGAGTACTATTGGGAGTATTATTCACACCGATACCGGCCCCACCGAGGCTGCTGTTCAGGTTACTGTTGATGCAAATACTACTGCCGTTCGCGGTGGCAGCAGCGGGGGCTGCGAAATCCCCCATCCTGCTCCCCGTGCACACTATTTTGGAAGAACTTTTTGTATCCACCCCCCTATCAGCCTCCTTCTTGGGTCCAGGATTAAAATAGTTTTAAGTGGAACGCGGGGGAGCAAACAAGCACATGGATGGAGACACCGATCCCGAGCAGGAGGGGGAAGAAGGGGGGGAATACTTGAGGGGGGGCTGTTGCTGTTGTTTCCTTTTTTTTTTAAACTGTAACGCTCCCCTCCAATAATAATATTGAAGAAGGTGTTATCAGAGTATCATCAAGACACCTATCAACAAAAACAATCAACAAACTGAAGAGTAGCAAATCGGGTTGCAACTCAGCGGGAGATCCGTTCCTTCCCTCACTTCTTTTTATAATCCATTATTTTCTAATAAATTCCAGGAGATTTCCGGTGGTTGGCAAGCATTTTCTCCCCATATTCGGGGGGGGGGGAACCACACACACACACACCACACCACACACTCGCTCACAGGCAAAGACACCCCAAGCAGACACACAATACACACACTCGCTCCACACTCACAGCATCAAAAGACAGCGAGCTTTCTTATTGCATTTTCCTTCCACAAAAAAGTTTTGGTGTTTATGCCGCCCCGTGTTCTCAAAGTACTTTGGCTGCTCGGTTGCATTTCACAGGAACCTAAATATCAAATCCTCGGGTTGGGGGGAAGTAAACATATGAACAATCCCGGGGGTGATTGCAAAAGTAGATCGGTGAAGTCCTTTAAAAAAAAAAACCACGCCGAGCTGATAAGAGCCCCCAACGCTTGGCTTTTGCTGCTGCTGCTACGGCTGCGGCTGCTCCTCCTGCCACCATCACAATGATCAAGTGCTCTCCTCCTCCTCATCCTCCTCCTCCTCCTCTCTCTCCTCCACCTCCTCCTCCTCCTCCATGCCAGCGGAGTGATATCAGGACAAGAGAGCTCAGTAAACACAGAAGCAGCAGCAGTAGCAGCAGCAGCAGGCAGAGCGGTAGCAGCAGTGGCAGCAGCAGCGGCGGCGGCGGCAGCAGCAGCAAAGAAGCAGCAGCCGCTTGAGGCCGTGAGACCGAACCCAGGGACAAGGTGCAAAACCCGGCCCGGACTCTCACCCGGCAGGAGTGGAGAAAGGCACACACCAATGACTCTCTTCTCCCTTTCCCCTCACCTTCCTCTCCCTTCCCCCCTCCCCACGCCCCCAACCTTACTACTGCCCTCTGAATAGGAAGCCACAGCTGCCAGAAAAAAGAAAAAAGAAAGATCCTGAGGGATCTCGGGGATGAATCAACTTTTGACCTGTGAACGTATGTGTATGTATGTATGTATGTGTGAATGTGTGTGTGCGTGGGGGGGTGTAATTCGTTCGCGTGTGCGTGTTCGTGCGCGTGCGCGCGTGTGCTTCGGCTCCGGGGCTTGATTTCCTGATTCCAAGCGAGGTCTGAGGCAAGCTCAAGTTGTTGTTATACATTTATGTATTATATTGCAGAACTGTGCATGACCAGGCAGAAACATTGAGGTTCCCCAGTGCTTGTCTGTCAACCCTATCCATGTGAAAAGGGAGGGAGGGGTGGTAAGGTGAAGGAGTGAATTGTTTTTAAAAAGCCCCAGGTAACCCAGGGTCCCGTTTTTAATCATAGAACGTGTGACCACTTAGAAACTCAGACACCGATGCTGGAACGCTGGAACCCGGACGAGAAACTTGGATATCCGTTCGATATGAATCCAAGAAACTTGGCTATTGTTGAATTCGCTGCGTGTAACCATTTGTTGTTACTAAGGCAATTATTTTTCCCCTTGCCCTTAGAATATGTTTTAAATCAAGCAAGCAGGGACTTGGAGGTGAGACTAACAGCACATTGGAACAGACTGTTTTGAACACTAGGTGCTAATGACAGCAGTAATTAAGGGTCCTTCCCAAATCAAGTGGAAAGATTGCAGATTTCATAGAAGAGAACTACAGGAAAAACACAGCATTTCACAGTTTATCAGGACCAAAACAAAAACAAGCTAGCGCTCACACAGGCTTACTTTATGGATGGATAGATTTATTTTGTTTAAATGGCTCCATAATACATACAGTTACCATGAGATGATCGCTCCCAGAAAGCTATGTCAACTTCCTTAAAAAAAAACAAAAACTGCTGAAAGCATCTTTCCAGGTAAACACTGAGTTTCTGTAAGGAGAGGATCAGCTTGAGACCAGAAATAACATCCTAGAACCTGGACTTAACTCATTTCAAGAGCATCATCCAGTTAAATATTTTAGTTTGGCAAGACAAGTAGTGTTTTCCTTGCACTCAACTAGCAACATGTACTGGGCTTTAAAATGGGATGTCAACAAATAAGGTATTCCACATTGTTTTGATAAGCATTACAGACATATTCTTTTAGGGTAAAAATACACCCCAGTTTTCTAAAGTAGCCAGGAATAAAGGAACTTTGGATCTCATGCATTAGTCATGAGATCTGATTTAAACCATCTTCATTTCTTGGCATTGCAGATTAGCATAGGATGCTATTTCTAACCTCATAATGTCAGCGATAAGGAACTGTTTCCCCCCCCATTCATTAATCAGGTCTATAATGTGAAATCTATCTTTTACATAGGCTGCCTTACAGAGTACAGGCTGTAACACAGTACTGATTATAGTGGTGTGAAAATATCTCTAAATTGGAAAACAAAATGCTAGAAGTGACTTCTGGAATTTCCATACTTTCAAGAAAGAAATGGGGTTGGATGTTAGATTTTGCAGTGTAAATAGAAAGAGACCCTGGAATTAGGAGATTCTTGATTCTAAATTCTGCCTCCAGAGTTTATTAGCTGGGTGACAGACCAGAAGCAAGTTATTTCCCTTCTCTGAACCTCAGTTTCCTCATAAGTAAGCTGATGATCAGAGGCAACAGGAGGCAATGGGTAGAAAGCCTAGTCTTGTCGTCGGAAAGACTTGGGTTCAAATGTTGGGCACTATCTCTAACAACTTAGTGTTATCCCACCCAGACAATCCACTAGGATGTGTCAACTAAGTCATGACCTGGTTATGGAGGTCATCTATGTTTGGTGGAAAAATTTCCCACACCAGGAACTCCCCGGGGGGCCTCATCTATCTTCCCACGATTTTTGGATCAAGACATTACCCTCCTGATGGATGAACAACAACATTGTTTGGTATCTATAGTGCCTGCCTCACAAGGTGGTTGTTTTGTTATCAAATGAGATAATATATGCAAAGTGCTTTGTAAATCTTGAAATAAATGTCAGCTATTCTTATTTTCAGCATTCTTATCCTTCAAGCCTCAGTCTAAGAATCAAACAGATTAATTTTTTGTGATGGTCAGTAGGTATTCATTTTTTCAACAAGCATTAAGCACCTATTAAGTGACAGATTCTGCTAGGCACTGGCCATATAGAAACAAACGTGAAACAATGTCTTTAAGGAGCTTGTGTACTACTGAGGGAAACAATTTGGGCAAGATATAAACAGAGGAAATACTAAGTAATTTCAAGAGTACCAGAAAGTAGGTGGAGCTTGGATTGGGCTTTGAAGAAAGTTAGGGATTCTACCAGGAAGAAGTGAGTGAAGAAAGTGTGCACTATAGGCATAGGGGGCAGGGCAGGATGCAGCATATACACAAACTAGGAACATGCAAAGAGTTGTTTTTTGTTTGTTAATAAGAGCAAGATTAATTTTTTCACATATGTGCAAAAAATAATTCTTTCAGCAATCCAGGAAAAATATAGCCTTAGCATAAGGAAGAAGGCAACCTCAGATTCCCTCAACTTTTGGGGGGGGGAGGGGAAGGATATGTGTGTGTGTCTGTGTGTGTGTGATTTCACTGGTGCAGTTAATTCCTGGTAAGTAAACTTCCTTCTACTGAAGTAGATTGATAACAGTCCTGAATTTTGTAGTCTTACAAAATGCCCGGGGCACAGAGATAAATGACTTTCAGTACACATACAGTATGTATCAATGGAGTGGCTTGAACTCACTTCTTCCTGACTTGGAGCCCTGTTCTCAATTCACTAAGCACACTGTCCCTCTCTTAGCTCTTGTCTTTACTTAATTATTTCCCTTCCAAAACCTGCCAGTGTAAGAAATCAAAACAGTTTAGAAAGGCATTGAGTTCAGTCGTCCTAAACGACACTGGCTTGGCATCCAGAGGATTCAGGCTTTAACTTCTCGATGGTACCTACAATTTGGCTTTGGGAAAAGCTGAAAATAACAGTAATTGTTGGCCACTGGCATTTGCTGGGGATCTGTCTGCTTAACGTTTCGAATGACCAAAGAGCCGAAAGTATGTGCTTCTGAGAAGAACTTTAAGGGACTAATGGACTTTGTCCATTAGAACTTAGCATAGGCTCATGGATGAATGACTGCAATTTCATGGTAACTATTCTTGCATATGGCTGTGTGTATTTAAAAGTACCTACTGATGTGATCAGTTGTCCCTGTATGTGGACTTGGGTTCCAATCCAAACTCCACTACCAACCACCTATGTGACTTTGAAAGTCATTTAGTCCGTTTTCTCACCTCCAACATGCAGGAATCAGACTACATGGCCTCAGAAGTTCCTTCTAGCTCAAAATCTATGATCCCATGTCTTCCCTACCACAACATGAAAACAGAAGTAACAAACTGCAGGAATGAGGGATGAGAACGTGAGAGGCAAAAAATCAAAAACACATACAGACGAAACACCCAACTCCTTAGTGGGATTGTATCCCTGTAGCTCCTCTCTTCCACACTAGGGGGCAGCAACCCAGAACACAAAACTGGTGCCTAAGGGATTAACCATCTGGGAGAATGACATAGATCACAAGATGAAAGAGTTTAAAGGGATCTTTAAGATCATTTGGCCAAACCTTCCGTTTATAGAATCATGAACTGAGGCCCACTCAGATAAGGGAAAGGACTTGTCCAAAGTCGAGCAGGTACGAAGAGAAATACATATTTCTTGTATAAATGCTAGCTATCAGAAATATTAATGATGCTTATTAAGTGTTATTAGTAATATTTATTGATAAGCATTATTAAGTCATTCGCAATAGTTTGCATTATATATATATAGTGCTTTAAGGTTTGCAAAATGTTTTACAAATACTATCTCGTTTTATTATCACAACAGATGACATAATATTATCCCATTTTATAGATGAGGAAACTGAAGTGATTTGCCCAGAGTAAAACAGCTAGTATGTGTCTGAGGCTAAATTTTAACCGAATCCAGGTCTTAGACTCTATCTATCTCTCTCCATCACCTAACAGCCTCAGGTAAAAGATTGTTGAGTTGAGATTTGAACACAGGTCTTCTGACTTCCAGTCTAGTGCTTGTTCAGAATACTCCAAGAACTCACTCAATATTCACAACCTGTGGAATCTCAGGAGAAAGACAAATGTATTAGCTGCTCCCAGGTTCTGTGGATGATGTCTTTGAGGATGGCCAGCCTGGGGTGGAAGCTTCCTCATGATAATCTCTTAGGCCATTAGTGAATGACTGTTTCACAAAAACTTTCATTTCATTGTTGGCATATTTAGTTACATTTGGACACTATCGATTAACCAGGTTTTATTTGTCCCACAGTCACCACAGGAAAACCTCTTGGGTTTTAGGCAAGTTATAGACCTGAATCCCTCTAAAAGTATAATTTAACTACAGATTCTTCTTTCGACCTTTTCTTTTCCATGTTCTTTGTCCGCTTCCCTGCAGAAGACCTAAAAGCAACGAAAAGTATTTGATACTATACATTCCT